TACCAAATAGTTTCCAACTGTAGCTAAGAATCGAATTTTAATACCAATGCCTGACTTGTACCATTTTTTTTTAGTATTTTTTTATAGCTCATAAAATGCTTGATTTTATGCATAACCACTTCCCTACTGAGGCAATTTTTATATTTATTTTTTTTACACACGTTAAAATCTGCATTGCATGCTGGAAATTGCTGTACACCCCCAAAAAAGTATATATTTTTTGAAAGCAGAGACCCTAGAGCAGGGGGATCAAACTGGCGGCCCTCCAGCTGTTGCAGAACTACAAGTCCCATCATGCCTCTGCCTTTGGGAGCCATGTTTGTAACTGTCAGCCTTGCAATGCCTCATGGGACTTGTAGTTTTGGGCTGGAGAGCTCTTCAAGGAGAGACTGTTTGTCTATGGACTTGTACATAGACAAAAGAGAATTACCCTCATGGTCACAGTTCATTGGGCATTCCATACACCCCTCAACCCCTTCCAAGTTCAATACCCCTTAATAACAGCTGGAGGGCCACCAGTTTGACACCCCTGCCCTAGAGAATAAAATGGTGGTAGCTGCAATTTTTTAAGTTGCAATATGTTTGTGAAGCTGTTGTATGTTGCATTATATAATTGTAGCGTCCCTCTAGTGAGCTAGGGGGAGCTAGCTAGGTTTTTATTTAGAGGCTGGATAGCAGCCTGGGATGAGTCAGCCTGGTATGAGTCAGCCAGGTAACATTAGGTCAGGGCTGAGGGCTCTGCAGGTCAGTTCCCTGGCACCTCCCCCTGCTCTAGAAGCTTGAAAAGTTTCTAGAAGGCAGAGGGTGGGAAGGGGGACTCCCAATTCCCAAGTAGGAGGCTTGGCATGGGGTCAGGGTTAGCCCTTAAGTAAGGGAGAGCCTGATCAGGAAGTGGTCAGTGTCGGATGGAAGATGGTTTGAGAAGGCTGAAGAGTGGAGCCTGTAAGGGGACCCAGGGAGGGGCCTACCTACAGGCAGGATCTGGGAAGGAGGATCTCTCAGCCTCAACCGTCCCCTGAGAGAGGACAGCCTGAACAGCAGGGAAAGAGCCAGTCCAGCGTAAGGCCTTAAGGCAGCCACCAACCCAACAAGCTTACAGGAGAGGCGGAGTGAGTAATCCTGCACCCCCTGGGCCAGATAAGGGGAGAAGGCAGTCAGGTGGCAAACCCAACTAGCTCCTCGTCTGGGGCTGCTCTACTTCAGTGGAAGTTTCTGGATCCCCTTACTCAGGGATTCCCTCAGGCAGCTGGGCGAAGAGGAAGATTCATCTGGGGTCTGAGGAGGTGTACCAGATGGGCTGGAGAGTTCTTCAAGGAGAGACTGTCTGTCTATGGACTTGTACATAGACAAAACAGAATTGTCTTCATGGTCACAGTTCATTGGGCATTCCATACACCCCTCAACCCCTTCCAAGTTCAATACCCCTTAATAAAACTAAAAAAAAACAAGATCAATGACTGTTTACTGTCTCCAGAGTGCAAGTGCGGGAGAAAATGCGTGCTTTCAGTTTAGAGTTTATAGCGCTAGAAATATTGTTCTCTTTCCAACGTTCACGATGATGCCTAACATGTGTGGCCCAATTTATGTTTACATACACAAGCTCACTCCATGCTGTGGATTTTTTATAGGGTGTGTATGGGGGTGACGGGGGTGCTTTAACATTTTTTAAATATCTTGTATAATTTTTTTTACACTTTATTTTTTTCTACTTTATTGCTCCAGGCCTCCTATGTGATAGATGACAGCTGACAGGTTTTCTTTATGGAGACCTTGGGGGTCTATTAGGCCCCCTCCAATATCTTCCCTGCCCTCCAATGCATCCATTCAAGCACAGATCATGCTTGAATAGGTTCATCCTCATTCTACACTAGCTGAGGAATGATAGCAGTGACCCCGGAAGTGATGTAACACATACCACTTCCAGGGTCATTAGTGATAGGAGAGATTGGGTGTTCCCCAAGTTCCTCTCACTGCACCAGCAGTTTCTCATTGTACTGGGCTCCCTGAAGGAACAGGAAAGCCAGGGGCCACCATGAGTGCTGCTGGAAGGTGGTGCACCTTGAAAGCCCCATAAAATTGATCGGGCGGCTCTAGACCCACCCAGATCATTTTAACTGGAGATCCCTTCACCAGCTCCTAAAGCAATACCAAGCTCACAGCTGAGTTTCACAGATTTTCAACAAAGCTCTACTTTTTATCATTAAGGAGTCGTCCTTGAGCTCCGGTCTAGCAAGTTTTCCTAGGCTGAGAAATCAGCAGTCTTCTGCAGGAAGGATAAAGCATTTCCTCAGTCTCTTGTCACCCCAATGATCAGACTGCAACATTGTAGTTTTGTAGACAGGGTTGCAGCAGGGGCTGATGTGTGTCAGACATTTGTGAACTCAGCCAAGAACTGCTCAGTCCCAGTAGGGTCTTCATCATTTTTTGTGTGTATGGTTGTAGATCACCTTTTCTTTTGAATGGGCTGCAACCTGCCCTGTATTTTTTTTTATATTCAGTTATATACAGTTGAAACTTTTTCTGTATTGCTTTGCAGAGATCAGCCCCGCTCAGGGGGCGACTGACCATTTGGAAACCCGGGCACTTCCCGAGGGCCCGGGGTCAGTAGGGGGCCCCATGAGATGCCCCTGGTACCTTTTTCATAGGCTTTTTTGAGTTTGGGCAAGGACACGGGCCCCATGATCCCCTATTGCCCGGGGGCCCCACGAGTTGTCAGTCCGCCCCCGCTCCCAAAAGGACCTTACAATCTAAAGTCCCCCATCTTTGTACATACTCACACATAGGACAGTTTGGTTTGAAAGCCGACTTATAATGTGTGATTATTTTTCACCGCAATTTGCTCCTGATTAAGTTATATTTCATTCTCATCCATTGAGGGACACAGGAAGTTGTATGTTGTCCGGTTATACTGCGGCCTACAGGAGAAATGGACACAAAATTTGTAGGCTAGCCAAGGATAACCCTTTTTACTCCCAGAATGCCTCGGCTTATTGCTAGTGTCCTAGGAGGATGAACGTCTCTTTTGCTAGCTTTTTCCTTTGATTTGTTTCTTCAGTCAAGGGCCCCTCGGGCTCTTTGGCATTAGGCTTTTGTTTCTAACATTTGTCAGGCTTCCACCTGGTCTTCAGTTCACACGTTCTCCACGTTTTACCAGGAGGATCTTCAGGCCTCCTCAGATGTCAGCTTCAGGTGTAAGGTCTTTCAGGCAACTCTTTGAGCTTCAGTCAGTCCACATTTCTGTTCTTTGTGGGTCTGTTAGCATTTGTTTGCTGCTCATCTCTCAGTTGGTCTGCTTTTGGACGTCCCAACAGTAAATTATTATTATTATTATACAGGATTTATGGCGCCAACAGTTTGCTCAGCTCTTTACAATATAAAACGGGAGACAATACAGCAACAATACAGTTCAATACAAGAGGGATAGGAGGGCCCTGATCCTGGGAGCTTACAATCTAAGAGGGAGGGGCTGGTGGTACAAAAGGTAGTAACTGTGGGGGAGGGGCTGGTAGGAGGAATAGAAGACTCCATTATTAGCTGAGGGCAGGATAGGCTTCCCTGAAGAGATCGGTTTTACAGAGATTGCCTAAAAGTGAGCAGAGTAGGCGATAGTCTGATAAATGGGGGAGGCTAGTTCCAGGAGAAGTCTGGAAACCTAGAGAGCATGGGAGGAGGAGACAAGGGAGCTAGAGAGCAGGAGGTCGTTGGGAGGAGCGGAGAGACGGTTTGGGTGATGTTTTGGAGACAAGATTGGTGATGTAATTTGGGGTCATGAAATTGTTGGCATTGAATTTTCGGAAATCATGTATATAACGTTATTGTTAATGTTTTGCTATAATTTTATCCCTTTGTGGGAATGGGAAGCCAAAAAAAAGTGGAGGGATTGACATAGATGGGTGAACAACACTGAATGGAGGCCAAAAGTGGAGGGATTGGCAGAGAGGGGATAAATAAGAAGTACAAGCTGAAATGGAGGGGCCAGTGGTGTGGGATTAGAAATCAGAGAGGGGTGAAGGACAACCTTTGAATGGAGGTCCAGCATGGAGGGATTGGCAGACGAGAGGTCTGAGGACCTGAGTGGCAAACTGAACAATCTCAGGCCAGTGGAAGTCCATTCCAGGCAGAGATTTGGAGGACACTGAGTGGAGGTCAGTGCGCAACATTATCAAGAAGTGGAGGGATTGGCAGAGAGGGGATGAAAGTCACTGCAGAATAGTCCGGATGGTGGATAAGGCAGCCCCAAACATGTTCCAAAGAATTCAAGCTGTCCTGGAGGCTTGGCATCAGAGTCAGGGGAACTATCCGTCGACTGAAAATGGAAATGAAACGCTATGGCAGGAGATTGGCAGAGAGGGACCCCACTGCTGAGGACACTGAATGGAGGACCAGTTTGCCAAAATGTACTTGAGTGCAAAAGGGGAAAACGTCTTGTGGGACACTGAGACCAAGGAGGCTTTTCAGTTCTACTGTTTACCGAAAACGGATGAGGCAGAAGAGGGGTGGAGGACACTAAATGGTGGAGGCCAATGATGTTTTGGGGTTGTTTTGCAGAGAGGGGTGGAGGACACTGACTGTGTGCAAGGCCATGAAATCTGAGGATTACCAAGAGGATTTTGGAGGCACTGAATGGAGGCAGAAAGCTGGGTTTGGTCCAAGATCCTGGCAGAGCAGGGTGGTGGAGGACACTGAATACGTCAAAAAGCACCAGAAATGGATTGTCAAAGAGGGGAGAGTTCTGAAGGACACTGAGTGGAGGCCAGATCAAATGCAGGGAGAGATCTTAAAATTGCTGTTGGGAGAGGGGTCCTTCCAATAAAGGACCTGGACTCAGTGAAGGCCAGTGGAGGGATTGGCAGAGAGGGGTGGAGGACACTGAGTGGAGTGCCCAGTGGAGGGATTTTTGCAGAGAGGGGTGGTGGACACTATGATATGGAGGCCAGTGGAGGGATTGGCAATAAACATGGGGAGGAGGAAACCGAGTGTTAGGCCCTTTTTTGTGTGAAAGGGATTGGCAGAGAAGGGTGGAGGACACTGAATGGAGGTCAGTGGAGGGATTGGCAGGGGCAATGGGAAGGGAGGGATGGAGGACACTGAATGGAGGCCAGTGGAGGGATTGGCAGAGAGGGGTGGAGGACACTGAGTGGAGGCCAGTGGAGGGATTGGCAGAGAAGGGTGGAGGACACAGAATGGAGGTCAGTGGAGGGATTGGCAGAGAGGGGTGAGGACACTGAGTGGAGGCCAGTGGAGGGATTGGCAGAGAGTGGTGGAGGACACTGAGTGGAGGCCAGTGGAGGGATTGGCAGAGAGGGGAGGAGGACACTGAGTGGAAGGCCAGTGGAGGGATTGGCAGAGAAGGGTGGAGGACACTGAATGGAGGTGGAGGCAGTGGAGGGATTGGCAGGGAGGGGTGGAGGACACTGATGTGGAGGTCAGTTGAGGGATTGGCAGAGAGGGGTGGAGGACACTGAGAGTGGAGGCCAGTGGAGGGATTGGCAGAGAAGGGTGGAGGACACTGAATGAGTGGAGGTCAGTGGAGGGATTGGCAGAGAGGGGTGGAGGACACTGGAGTGGAGGCCAGTGGAGGGATTGGCAGGAGGGGTGGAGGACACTGAGTGGAGGCCAGTGGAGGGATTGGCAGAGAGGGGTGGAAGATAAATAACTTCCCGTGTCCCTCAATGGACAAGAAAGAAAATAGGATTTCTTGTAATCACCATAAAATCCGTTTCTTGGAGTCCATTGAAGGACACGGGTCCCAACCCTCTGTGTGTATAATCCTGGCACTGCTTCACTACAGATCGCATGCTGGGTGTCCCGGCCAGGGGTCAGGCTTGGAGACCAGTAGCTATACCAGTAGAGAAGCTCCCACCAACCAGCTGGATAAGTTTGCATGCAGGTCAGCCTGGTGGTTAATACGAGCTCACCTGAGGTGTGGAGTCTAAGCAGTAACCGGTTTCACCAGAGCTCCTGATGGTGGAGATGGATTTTGCTGAGTGTTAGTACCAGATTGCAGTCCTCAGGATGGCCCCACCAGAAGGTGAGCAAGCTGGAATCCAGTAGCAGATATAGCAGGTAGGGTTCAAGCAGAAGCGTAGTTGGTAAACAAACCAAAGGTTGGTAACAAGTGGTCACAGGTTGGGATCAAGCAGAGCGAAGTCAAAGAACAAGCCAAGGTCAGTAATGAGGAGTAATGAAGATATGAATAGTAGCAGGAGAGACAAGAGCAAGATATTGGCTAGAGAAGAGCACAATAATGTGGCAAACAGGAGATGCGAAGGCATGGCTCAAATAGGAAGTTCATGGGAGGAGCAAGGAGTTCAAGGTTCACTAGAAACAAAGCTCAAAGCAGGATTGTCCAAAGAATCAGGCAAAAGAGCTCTCCAGACTGTCAGGTGGCTCAGCAAGATCAACTGCTGGACGCAGCAGAGGTTGTGGGTTCAGATCCCGGTCCTGTCACTGGGAGTAGGAAGGGTTATCCTGGGCTACTATGCAATTTTCAAGTGTCCAAGCCTCCTATAGGTGACAGTAGTATACGATTTCATGTGTCCCTCAATGGACTCAAATATTTTACAGTGAATACAAAAATCCTATTTTTAGACTTTTTTTCAATTATTGGTTGCTTGTCTAAGTGTAAGTAGATGATGGACGTTTGAGGTGAATAGTCCTTCTCCTTGCCCTTCCTTTAACAAGCAAAATAGAATTTGTGAGAAGGAGATGGCAGGGAGATAGAAGTGGCAGAGATTTCCGTCACTAATTAAATACTCAGCAGCAGCAGCCATAGTAATTAACTGCACACCCAGTACAGTGATAATATCTATTTTTATTTTTTAGACTTTTTTTGAAGTTAATGAAAGTTACATTTTCGATGGCTGGGGTCAGACACGACTAGAAGATATCATTTCACTATCTGATGCAAATTATTTCATCGGCTTCCTGTTTTAGACATCCAAGCTGCAGTATGTATAATGGCCGACTAATCTACACAACCTCCTCGCCTTCCCCCCGTGTCTTACCTCCGCAGTACAGCAACATCCTGATGTATGTTTCATAGACTCTATGATCATACATGTTCAGGGTACAGACCCATACAACTCTAGGAGGGCCCAGTGCCCAGGCACAAACAGCACTCAAGAGAAAATATGGCCCAGGAGGGTATAAGAAGTGAACGAGGGCATGACTGTGTTACTGAGGTGTGTAAGAAGCTGGGATAAGTGTGGGAGGCTGTATAGATGTGTTCAGGAGTGCTAGGGAGGGTTGGATAGATAGCAAGTGGCTAGTTGGACAGGGGCTAGGAAGGGTTGGATAGGGAGCGAGGGGCTAGGAAGGGTTGGATAGGGAGCGAGGGGCTAGGGAGGGTTGGATAGGGAGCGAGGGGCTAGGGAGGGTTGGATAGGGAGCGAGGGGCTAGGGAGGGTTGGATAGGGAGCAAGGGGCTAGGGAGTGTTGGATAGGGAGCAAGGGGCTTGGGACGGTTGGATAGGGAGGAGGTGGCTAGGGAGGGTTGGATAGGGTGCAAGGGGCTAGGGAGGGTTGGATAGGGAGCCAGTGGCTAGTTGTAGAGGGGCTAGGGAGAGATGAATAGGGAGATAGTGGCTAGTTGTAGAGGGGCTAGGGAGGGTTGGATAGGCAGCAAGTGGCTAGTTGTAGAGGGGCTAGGGAGGGTTGGATAGAGAGCTAGGGGCTGGCTGGACAGAGGCTAGGGGGGATGAATAGGGAGCTAGGGGCTAGTTGTAGAGGGGCTAGGGAGGGTTGGATAGGGAGCTAGGGGCTAGTTGTAGAGGGGCTAGAGAGGGATGGGTAGGGAGCTAGGGGCTAGTTGTAGAGGGGCTAGAGAGGGATGGGTAGGGAACTAGGGGCTAGTTGTAGAGAGGCTAGGGAGGGTTGGATAGAGAGCTAGGGGCTGGCTGGACAGAGGCTAGGGGGGATGAATAGGGAGCTAGGGGCTAGTTGTAGAGGGGCTAGGGAGGGTTGGAGAGAGAGCTAGGGGCTAGTTGTAGAGGGGCTGGGGGGTGGATAGAGAGCTAGGGGCTGGCTGGACAGAGGCTAGGGGGGATATATAGGGAACTAGGGGCTAGTTGTAGAGGGGCTAGGGAGGGTTGGATAGGGAGCTAGTGGCTAGTTGTAGAGGGGCTAGAGAGGGATGGGTAGGGAGCTAGGGGCTAGTTGTAGAGGGGCTAGAGAGGGATGGGTAGGGAGCTAGGGGCTAGTTGTAGAGAAGCTAGGGAGGGTTGGATAGAGAGCTAGGGGCTGGCTGGACAGAGGCTTGGGGGGGGGGATGATTAGGGAGCTAGGGGCTAGTTGTAGAGGGGCTAGGGAGGGATGGATAGGGAGCTAGGGGCTAGTTGTAGAGGGGCTAGGGAGGGATGAATAGGGAGGTAGGGGCTGGCTGGGCAGAGGCTAGGCTAGTGGGGATGAGTAGGAAGCTAGGGGCTAGTTGTAGAGTGGCTAGAAAGGGTTGGACAGGAGCTAGTTATAGAGGAGCTAGGGAGAGTTGGATAGGGAGCTAGGGGCTGGTTGGACAAGGGCGGGTGGGTAGGATAGGGAGCTAGGGGCTAGTTGTAGATGGGCTAGGGAGGGTTGGATAGGGAGGTAGGGGCTGGTTGGACAGGGGCTAGGAAGGGTTGGATAGGGAGGTAGGGGCTGGTTGGACAGGGGCTAGGGAGGGTTGGATAGGGAGGTAGGGGCTACTTGGACAGGGGCTAGGGAGGGTTGGATAGGGAGGTAGGGGCTGGTTGGACAGGGGCTAGGGAGGGTTGGATAGGGAGGTAGGGGCTACTTGGACAGGGGCTAGGAAGGGTTGGATAGGGAGGCAGGGGCTGGTTGGACAGGGGCTAAGGAGGGTTGGATAGGGAGGTAGGGGCTGGTTGGACAGGGGCTAGGAAGGGTTGGATAGGGAGGCAGGGGCTGGTTGGACAGGGGCTAAGGAGGGTTGGATAGGGAGGTAGGGGCTGGTTGGACAGGGGCTAAGGAGGGTTGGATAGGGAGGTAGGGACTACTTGGACAGGGGCTAGGAAGGGTTGGATAGGGAGGTAGGGGCTACTTGGACAGGGGCTAGGAAGGGTTGGATAGGGAGGTAGGGGCTACTTGGACAGGGGCTAGGAAGGGTTGGATAGGGAGGCAGGGGCTGGTTGGACAGGGGCTAAGGAGGGTTGGATAGGGAGGTAGGGGCTGGTTGGACAGGGGCTAAGGAGGGTTGGATAGGGAGGTAGGGACTACTTGGACAGGGGCTAAGGAGGGTTGGATAGGGAGGTATATGCTGGTTGGACAGGGGCTAAGGAGGGTTGGATAGGGAGGTAGGGGCTGGTTGGACAGGGGTTAGGGAGGGCTGGGTCCTGTTTTTACTAAGGGGTCCGTTGTCCTCTGAAGTGGAACTAAACTTACCGATGTTGGAGCGGGAGCTCTGCCATAACGTGCAATAATGCACAAAGCTGCCAACTTCTTCCCAGGCATAACTGGAAGGTATGTTTAAAGCCGAATAACCACCGTCCGGGACCCGGTGATTGACAGCTGTGGCCTCAAACGGCAGCGCGCGCCCCCTACCCGAAAATGCGCACCCGTGCCGCCCCTGTAGCAGTATTTCTGGTATAGGGCGGTCGGGAAGCATTTAATCTCACTATAAAAACGTTTGTAAACAAAAAAATAAAAATCTGAAGAATATATTTAAAAAATATATATTTTTAAAAATATATTTTTTAAAAAATATATTATTCAGATTTTTTTTTTTCGCATATAAATAAGTAATTTTAACATATATTTGTAAATTAATTCCAAAAATGTAGATTTGTACATGCATGTCTAACAAATGATGACTGATCTGCATGTTCATGAGGGAAATAAGGATTTGATCCCCTTCACAAAACATGACTTAGTACTTGGTGGCCAATCCCTTGTTGGCAATCACAGAGGTCAGACGTTTCCTGGAGTTGGCCCCCAGGTTCGCACACATCTCAGGAGGGATTTTGGTCCACTCTTCTTGGCAGATCCTCTGCAAGTCATTAAGGTTGGGTGGCTTACGTTTTTCCAACTCGAACTATCAGCTCCCTCCACAGATTTTCAATCGGATGAAGGTCTGGAGACTGGCTAGACCACTCCAGGACCTTAGTGTGCTTCTTCTTGAGCCGCTCCTTTGTTGCCTTGGCCGTGTGTTTTGGGTCATTGTCATGCTGGAACACCCATCCACCACCCATTTTCAATGCCCTGGCTGAGGGAAGAAGGTTCTCACCCAAGATTTGAGGGTACACTGCCCCGTCCATCGTCCTTTGATGCAATGCAGTTGTCCTGTCCCCTTAGCAGAAAAAAACACCCAAAGCAGAATGTTTCCCCCACCATGTTTCACAGTTGGGATGGTGTTCTTGGGGTCATAGGCAGCATTCCTCCTCCTCCAAACACGGCGAGTTGAGTTGATGCCAAAGAGCTGGATTTTGGTCTCCTCTGACCACAACACATCCCACCAGTCCTCCTCGGCATCATTCAGATGTTCAGTAGCAGACTTCAGACGGGCCTGGACATGTGCTTTCTTGAGCAGAGGGACCGTGCGGGCACTGCAGGATTTCAGTCCTTGTCGGCGTAGTGTGTTACCAATTGTTTTCTTGGTGACTGTGGTCCCAGCTGCCTGGAGATCATTGACAAGATCCTCACGTGTAGTTCTGGGATGA